CTCCGCCCCTGGTCGGAGGCCCCGGCTTGCTCGGAAGTCTGCCTTGGAGGGGAGGCTGCTGCTTGCCCGCGACTTCGGGCGCGACGGTTGGAGAAACGCGGCGCCGCGTGTGACCAGGTCCCGTCACATCGCGTGGCTCCCCGTTATTGGTCACAGTACGAAACGCATGAAGGGAGTGCCTTGGCCTTCGCGCTCCCGAGGCCTCGGCCTCCAGGGTGCAGATTTGAAAGCAAGTGCAACTGAACCAGGGACGTTGGCGCAGATGTGAGGATGCGGATGGGACACTCACCCCAGACCACGTTTTGGCAGCCTTGCGTCAGGCCTTTCAGAAAAATGTCGGGAAAACTGTATAATCCGAAATGTAAGGCGCTGAACACAAGTCGTAATGGCTGCTTATTACAGAGACAGAGGTGAGCGGATACAGAAAATGTAAGCCTTAGGAAAAGACAAGCACTGGGGGTCATGGAGGTGATGATTCCACAGACTGAGGGTCTTCGTCAGTATTGAAAAGTCCGTTTAATCATTGGCCAGCAAAAAGCTGCTAGGTGGATTTCCCGGGGCCGCCACAGGAGCCCAGCAGACGCCCTGAGAGCGTGCCCCCGTGCGTGGGAATCCCAAATGGGCCGGGTGCGGTGGCGCGGCCTGTCATCCCAGCTCTTTGGGAGGCCGAGGCGAGAGGACTGCCTGAGACCGCAGGTCGAGGCCGGCCCGGGCAGCCTGGTGAGACGATACAAAACTCACAAATGAGCCGGGCATGGTGGTGCGTGCCTGTAGTTCCGCTACTTGGGAGACGGGGGCAGAAGAATCGCCTAACAGCAGCAGGTCGAGGCCGCGGTGGCCAGGAGTGTGCCACTGCACTCCAGCCTGGGCAACAGTAGGGCTCCAACGGGAAAAAAAAAAAATTCCGGTAACTGGGGGCCGGGGCCCACCCGTTGTCATCTTCTTCCGTTAAGTGGTACAGACAGATCCAAGTTAACTGGTTCCGGGTGGTCGGCAGTTTCTTCCTCAGCAGTCATGGCTGTCTGGTGGTGACACACACCAAGAACGTAGAGGTTACATATTTGAAAGGCAGTTCGGTCCTGTGACCTGATAAATAGTTCGGGGCAAATGCTTTTGTCTCCACTTACTGATCCATTGACAATGACTGCTAACATTAACTACAGAGATGTGAAAATGAGAAAGGGTGGGGCAAAGTGCTAGGATTTAACATGAGTTGTTTTTATTTTCATGAAGGAAGGGAAGAAAAGTCAAATGTTAATGGAGCATACAAACGCTGATTTGTGTCTTCATTTCACCTTCCACTTTTTTCCAAAGAAACCGGTTGCGGTCCGATGGCCCTTCTGCCCCTTCTCCTTTCTCATCCTCAACACAGCAAAACATTCGTTTGAAAAATATTTTAGCAGCAAGTCAAATGCTGCGAGGTCCTTCAGTCTCCCAAAAGAATCTCAACCATTTCCTTTTCCGTCTCATTCTTTTCTGTAACTGTTGGTTTATTTCTATTTGTCAGAATTCTGATGATCATGGTCTTTAACTTCTTCACAGTACTTTAATCTTTTTGCTGCCTCTTCCCGGTACACGATACTCCCCCGTATTTGTTTAGAGCTACGGTTCCTGCCGGTGCCAAGTTCCTTCCTCTCACTGAGTGGGCTTTCTCCTCTTGCGTGCCCAGTCGATACCGAATCTAAAAGGTTCCACTTTCATGCCTTGAATAAGAGAGAAACCAGATGGTTAATAAGAGCTAATAAAACTTTTAAATTCCTCTCCCTGAGTAGCATCACATAGCACTTCTTTTTTTCAGGTTATTTTTTTGGAGTCTCACTCTGCCACTCAGGCCGCAGTGCATTGGCAGGCTCCCGGCCACCGCAGCCTCGACCTGCTGGGCTCCGGCCATCCTTCCGCCTCAGCCTTCCCAGGAGCTGGAACTACAGGCGTGCACTACCACGCTCAGCCAGTTTTGTTCATCTGTTGTAGAGACGAGGTCTCACCAAGTTGTCCAGGCTGGTCTTGAACCCCTGAGCTCAGGCAGTCCTCTCGCCTCTGCCTCCTAAAGTGCTGGGATTATAGGCTTGGGCCACCGCGCCTGGTGAAATTCTCTTCTTTAACAAAAGGAAGTTGAGGCAGAGTTTAGGTCACCTGACAAACCACATTGCTTATCAGGCATTGGAACCAAAGGGAATCGACCTACGTCTGTGGAGTTTCCATTCTTCATTTTCCCACTCTTTTGGTGCACATTCAAATAAGCTGTTAGGACTGACTCAAGCTATTCAAAAAGAACAAATATTGAAACTCACAGGGTGGGCACACTTATCACAATAAGACTTTCCCTTACTATATGCAATGCTGTCTGATAGTTTATTCTGTTCTATTCTGTATCTGTTCTCTCTTTTTTTTTTTTTTTTGAGTTGGAGTCTCACTCCGTCATCCAGGCTGGAGTGCAGTGGCACGCTCATGGCCATCGCAGCCTCGACCTGCTGGCCCCAGGCAATTCTTCTGCCTCAAGCCTTCCAAGTAGCCAGAACTACAGGCACACGCGACCATGCCCGGCTAAATTTTGATTTATTGTAGAGAGATCTCGCCAAGTTGCCCAGGCTGGTCTTGAACCCACGGGCTCAGGCAATCGACTCACCTCCACCTCCCAAAGTGCTGGGCTCAGCCACCGATCTGGCCTCTATTCTGTATTTCAGTTCACTACTAATGCATTGCAAACTGCAGTTTAAGAAACAATGAATTAGAGAGCAGCAGTCAGTGTTGGCCCAGAGCAGTGGCTCACACCTGGAATCCTAGCACTTTGGAAGGCCAAGGTGGAAGGACTGCTTGAGCCCAGGAGTTCGAGACCTGCCTAGGCAACACAGTGAGACCCTCATCTTGACCAAAAAAAAAAAGCAGTGAGCCAGGCATGGTCCTGCAGCCCCAGCTACTCGGGAGGCTGAAATGGGAGGACCACCTGTGCCCTGGAGGTCGAGGCTGTGGTGAGCCATGATTGTGCC